CTAGAGTGTTAACAGCGAAAAGCTCTCTAGGCATCTCAGAATCCTCTCCCAGGGTTTGATGCAAGCATCTGCGCGCATTCTCCCTCCAGGTTGAAGTCCGCTCTAGCCGGGTTGGATGTTGCTTTTCGGCCATCTGTAGTGGCTACTAGGCTAGGCAGATAGTATTGCCAGTAAAGACAAGGGAGACTGGAGTGGCCACTCCTGGCTTATTAGCCGTCGTCGGTCAGTCATACCCAACCCCAAGTGGTGCACCACCCGAGGCTCAATGGATAGAGCATTGAGCCTCGGATAAAAGATGTCGCGAGTTCGAGTCTCGGGTGGTGCACCACTTGGAGTTGGGTATGACTGGCTGATGATGGCTAATAAGCCAGCAATGGCCATACCCCTGTCTTTGCTGGCAATAGTATCTGCCTGGAATCTTATACTGCTGATCTAGTTTAAGGATGTCACACCAGCCTGTCAATCCGACCCTCCACCGTGTGCCCCACGGCGTGGTGGGTGCAGGACAGTGACTTGCGCGTAAATTGGTTTATTCATTTGACCCAGTTGTGAAAAACTCGGCGGCCTCAGTGGGATTCGAATCCATGCCACAAAGGGTTACGAGGCAGGCAGTTTGGTCTATGCCGACGCAGTCATTAAGTTACTGAGAGCTATCGGATTATTCGCTCACGACACAGTCTCGGGGAGGGTGTTCAGGTCTTCGTGGAACTTGTTCTTCATCTCTTAATTACTTGATTACCGGCCTGCGGGCCCTGGCTTCCTGAACTTTCATCACGCGTGGTGGAATTGGACGTGATGATTGCTGGGCCATCTGGTTCCCCGGTGTTGGCCTAAGACAACGCGGTGGCCTGTGCGTTCCCAAAGCGGCGACTTTCTTTGGCCAAATTAATCCCCAGTACCGAATATGGATTGGGCAAGTGGTTGAACTTATTTATAGCCTGGAGGCCCGTGAGTCATCGTATTCAGATGCCAACTCTGTCGACAGGCATATTTCCTTATAAAGTCCTGTTTAATTACATAAATGAAAACCAGGATGGAATATTCACTTCGAACTTAAGAAACATAAGCAAAGACAGCCCTGCAACGAACCCACTGGAAGATGAGATGGGCTTAAAAGCACCCTCCACCGAGATGCAATTGCGCAAAATCAACGGCCGCCAAACTCTACAAACGTCATACGAAGGCAGAGGCAGCGAAGCAGGAAAGAAATCGATCAATCCAAGGCCGACAAATTCGGCCAGTCATTGAAACCTCTGATCGATATTCACAGTACAGTGGTCGCCGGCTATTAAGCCCACCTCGGGCCCAGACCAAATTGGGCTTAATGAGCGGCGGGCTTATTAACCATGGGCTTAATAGCCGGCGACTACTGTAGACACTTTGAGAATGGAGTGCCGTCGAGCTCTCTGGAAAGTTAGTAAGCACTCGACGCTCTTCCGGCTAGCAAATCAACGTTAGCAGACTTTCTCTTGATCTCAGAAACTGATTGAGAGGAAATAAGAACTTGATATTTATCCTATTGGTATTATTTAAATTGCCTTATTAGAGAAATTATTTTGCGTAGACCCATCTCTCAGCGGTAAATTCATCAAACAGGCAAGTCAGCTTAAATGCCAATTACCTTTCCGTAATTACCATTGTGACATTATCTGCATACTTAAACGTTTTTAAACCCCTCCGGACTTTTAACCCTTTTGTCTTACCACCTAGCAGTAATAAATTGCGGTGCTCTGATGATTGCTGAACCGCGTAGTAATTTTGCCACCCTTTTCTGATCCCGTTTAGCGTGAATCCTTTTCGCCGACGCTTATTGCATCCAATGTGGAGGTTTTATGGACCGGCATCACTAACGCGACGTCCGGCTCTCTCTCATTTTCCGAAACGTCAGGTGTCACAATTGATGCCATGGACGAGAATGCAGAGGAAGAGGATAGAGTATTTGTTGCAAAGCGAAATAGCTTTGCTTCGGAACCCTTCCACCTACCGCCCATTCCCCTATTGAGCGACTCCGTGTGGGTGCATTGTGGACTCCAGGGTTTAAAAATTTGGTTTCCCGTCAGCTCCCTCTCGGAAGGAGGCTCGAGAACAGCATCCATTTTACCCGACTCTCTGTCTCCGGGACTGCTGAACAACAGATTTACCTCGTTTTTCCAGAGTGGTCCAACCGTGAATCCCCGCGGAAGTCTTTTTTCGAAGGGAGCTCGTCGAGTGATGCTATCAGTACAACTGGAAGATCTTGTTTATCCTCTTAGTAAGAAACCTTTTGTTGTAATTTAGCTGGGCTCCGTGAAGGGGATGTTTAGGCGATATTTATAATCGATATTGTCTGCGTAAACATAGATGTATTCCTTATTTTAATCTGTTTTTGCACTTGTTACATTTAGAACTATTAAACAATCCTTCGCAAGTAATCGTTGTTGCCATAGCTGCGTGAGTGCATACGGCAGTACTTTGTGCTTCACATTTTTTTCTGTTGTTACACGTTTGTTGATATCGTCGGGCTGGTTTGTTTGACCTGACCTCTTAGCACTGCGAGTCACTGAAAGCTAACTATGGGGCGGCAGTGTCAAGGGAGGCCATTTAATAGATGTTGTTGCTCGTCATGTCATGTAACTGTAACCGAGCAGTGGGTATGCCATACTTTAATTCTCAATGCTCTGGTTATACTGCTTATTCGAAAAACCCCATCATTCCCTCATTTGGCAACTAGCTTGTACCGTAGGTCGTCCCACTAGCCGCCAGACGTTGTATCGAGCGTCAGACATAATGCATCAATAAAACCTACACAACTATGCTAAGCAGGGACAGAATATCGGCGAAACACGTGTGTCTGGGCTTTTAGCTGGTACCTGTGCTGCCAGTCTGTTATATCACACATCACTATTATCTACAGCTCTGTCTGTCCGTAGTGTTCCTCTGTCGGACTTTACAGTATCAAGTCATCGTTTTCCAGCAGACACCAGTGCAGCAGCAGGCCCGGAAATCCTCCAAGTTTCATTTATCCTTTATCAGAGAAATTAACTAAGCACGCTTTCGTGATTTTTTGGTTACTAAAGACGTTAAACTGGAGCTGCTGATAGTTTGCTGATTTGTATGTAGTTTACGTACTTGGCATTGTCATCAGTGCCTTTTACTTTCACAAATTGTATGTGAAGCTAACGCAAATGTGAAAATACAGGAATTCTCCTTATGCATGACTCAGACGACATCTAAAGTAGTAAGATATCTGCATTTCCGAGTTATAAGTTCACTTAACAGATATTTGTTACGGTTTTCTATTTAAGCCGTCCTTTTGGACAAAGCCGCCGTTATCACCACCCACAGTGGTTGCTTGCGCATCGATAGGTCTTACTACAAGACCCTGGATGACCGTCGTTTTCATCTGCCCTGGTTCAGTATCCGGGTCAAGGTCAGCTTTCGTCTCACGAATGCCTTTTAATTTCCTCGCCAAGTAGAGGTTTCTGACCGTTTGTCTGCTTTTTATTTTATTTTAGACCAACCTATTCCTGCCTCATCTGTTGAAGGACCTACTTAGTAAAAAGTAATTGCGAGATATTTTGCCTGTTTATCTATTTCTGATATTCGTTAGTCTTGGAGTTTATTACCTGTTTATTTTCAGTCGAACGTACTCCAGATTAGAGCACGTTCCTTTCTCTTAAGCTCATTTAACAGGTGACAGCTCTTCTTGTATGTAGAGAAGATGTGTTTACTCCCTACAAAAACCTCAGGGTAGGTTGCGGGCAATTTCTAAATCCAATACCCCTGGACCGTATGATGCGTACGATGCTTGAACCTCTGAACGTCGGAATTCTCATCGGGTTCTCATCTTAGATCTGTCTTACCTATGCTTGCAAACTCTGCAAATTAATCGGCAGGTTGTTCACTGTACTGGACACATTGACGTAACCTTCGCTCTACACTTATGAAATCTGCCCTTCAATCCCAACTGAACAGTTTTACTGGACAGCTTTCAACTTTCGTATGGGTGGCAACGGTCATGAAGCCTGTTTCCTTTGGAAAGCCAATGAACCTGCATAGATCCATTTTTGATGTGTTAAATACCCCAATTGCAATGACCTAGGATTACAGGTTTCGGAGCACTAAATAAATTCAGTTTGGTGGTAGACCGTCTTCTCCTGGTCTCGGCTTATGTTCGGCTGAACGAAAGCAGAGTAAACCCGAGACATTTCTGTATAAATCTACCCCCCCGCATTTTCTGTCGTCCACCCTCTGCTGTCATCGACTGGCCCTGTTCGACCTGTCAAGTGGTTGTCTGTTCGTGACCTTTTTCACCCATACGGAACTTGTTTGCTTTCTAAATCCAATATATCAGTATGCTGCTCCGACTCCCTGACCGGGGACAGTTGGGTGCCAGTGAAAGGCCATGCAAGGCAACCACTACCTATGCGAGGCAAACGGAGCGAAATGCCATGCCTATGCACTCTACCCCGCACATATATGGACAAGAAGACGTTATCGGCAAGAACAAAGGAGACTGAACTGGCCATTTCTGGTTTATTAGTCGTCTTCAACAAGTCATACCCAACCCCTGGGGTTGCA